ATATAAGGGAATGCTTAGTCAAAGATAAGTGGGTTCTTTCAATAAAATTAGTGTCACATGAATGAAATAAGATCTCAAAGAGTCATTAAAAGGAAAGGCGTTGGCCCCAACAACATGTTTATGGATTTTCTGAATGCAATTCACAACCACATCATGATGGAACTCACCCATATGTTTAGCCATTGCCTTCAAACTGGACGCCAAATTCCTGGGGGCTAGGACACCAAGAAAGTGTTTCTGTACAAGAAGGGAATCCAATGGAACCTTCAGAGCTTCCACCTGATAGCCCTTTTGAACGCCATCTATAAACTCCTGATGTGCATCTTATCCAACTGTTTGATGATCATGGCACTGCAAACCCTATACAAGGCTTAACACAGGTTCATAAAGTGAACTACAATCTGGGACAGCATTATCTCAATCTATAACCTACTACAGGATATACAAGGATCCAAGGATGGTGTATTGTGTTTTAAACATGGAGAAATCATACAATTGGGTATCATGGACCTTCCTGAACATGGCAATGCATGCGTTCAGAATCCCCAATGCTTTCCTAACCTGAGTTTCAACCTTATACTCAGGCTTAATGACCAAGGTAAGTATTACCAATGGTCTTACAGACGCCATTTTAATTGGACAGGGCCTCCACTAAAGTGATCCCATGTCACCAATTTCTTTTACTTTTCTGTGAACATCCTGTTGGCAGCAGTAAACATGAAGCTCAGGGAAATTGTCCACCCCAACCAATGGTCTATAATAATGAAGAACTTTGCTGATGACATTGTTATAGGGATTTTCTCTAAAGATGACCTTTAAGACTTTGAGGAGTTTCTCAGCTCCTACCAATTGGTGTTAATTATAAAATATATATGGAGTATATTGACATAGTAAAGATTAACAAAATTCAATTTCAATATGCTTTCTTATCTGATCACCCTTCGCCCAACCCAGACATTCCACTATCTATGTATTCTATTTAATGAAAAAGATTCAGTAATTTAGGAGATGGAGCAAGCACTGCCAACCAGTATGTTGGCCTGAATGGCCTACTGGAAGTAAGTTCGCCTAAAATTAAAGGCAAGGTCCAAGAAGTAATTTTTTTCTGTCCAAGCTCTGGTACATCTACCACGTACTATTAGTGATCCTGATGCTGGATTTTAATACAGATATGATGATTTAAACTTTTATATGACATAAGTCAAAAGAATTAGCAATTGCCCTGGAACCCTCTTCAAACGTGAAGGGGATATAGGCCTAATAATCTTCAAAAACTTATGCTTGGAAAATATGGACTAAGTCGTTTCTCCATATGGTGCAGATGCACATGCAATGCCCAGACCTCATGATGAGCATTACCTGGTCCCAAGTCCAAGGACAATAAGAACCTATCCCATTGCACATAATTTGAAAATAGATGATGACCCAACTGAAAATGCCCTCCTGGCAGAGGAGTTTCTACTATTGGTGGCTGTGCAATTGAGTGGTGCATCTAGGCAGTTGATCATTCAAAATTTTGGCATAAAACACCAACCAAAATTTGACATGATATCAAATTTTGCAATCCAACGATGAGCTTGGCAGTGACATGGGGCGAGCAAAAAATGGAACAAATTTGCAATAAGGCAACAAAAACCTTTTACAAATCTGCTCTACAATATGGTAAACTGCTCCTGAAATCTGCTCCAAATCCCTTAACTTGACCCCAAATTCTAAATGACTGGGCTGAGGAGAGACACAACAACATCTACAATCTCATGGATTTGGTGTCAAGCCTAAATCTCACTTTGGTTTTTTCCAATCACTAATCAATTGCCTGGCAGATCCTGCTCCAGGATATCAAGTTGGGCAAGCACTGCGGGCTGTACTGCCTTCACAAAGGCTCCCATTGTGTGCCAATAAAAAGGCAGAAATCATCCACCATTTCTTTGAGTGTGCTGTATTCAAGTGTTACTGTTCTAAAATAAGGCACTTGCTATATAACAAACAATCGCTGGATTTGCACTCATCACAAAACCTTTTCTTTGTACAAACTCTGCAATCTTAGTCAATCCAGCTCTGAGCCTTTCCTGTACCAATATTATGATTGGGTAATTCACTTGCAAAATTTGGCCAAACAATAAGCTATGAGCACTCCATTACAAAGGTATGTTCTTTAAGACAATCTATATTTTCTATTATATGCTTAGGTAGATCTCAAAGTTTTCCCATTTAATTCTGGGATGATATAAAGCCACACACTTGTCTTTCATCCCTGGATCAATTTGTCAAATGTGATGAATCAACCAACAGACCTAAGATCTGCTGGCCCATAATACTGCAAATGCTAGAACTGTATCTGACAATGGCTATTGCCTTCTAGGAATGGTCATAAATGCTATAATTAGTGACATCTGCCCCAATCCTTTATATTTCAACCAAAACTCCCATTTCAACGTTATCTCTTGCTCTTGTTCCAATTCTTATTAAATAAAGGCATGGAGACTAAAAAAAATAATCATGATCTACATTAGTAAAGCACTACATATTCTTATCTAATTACTGTATTTTTATTCACCCTCATACTCAAGTCTAACAAAGTGTAAGAATAATTTGTAATAAGCATAACTAGGTTCAACTTTAAACTAATATCTAAATTTATTGTGGGGAAGGCCGACCATGGGATGGACACTTCCGAATTTGACCTGAAGGAGACAACACTTAGTAACAGGGAAGGCACCCCAGAGAAGCGATGCTATCTCTTGTTGCCAGCGGGAACGCCACTTATGGGGAGGGGGAGGGAACGTGTGAAGGGGCCGTAGCCACTATCGAGCACGTGTGGAGGAAGGGTTCTGATTTGATGAACCATGCTGGGAACCAGGAGGAGACCAGCTGTCGGTGGCGCAGTGAGAGGTATCCAAACATCTATGCCTGAAAATGGTCCACCAAATGAGACCAGAATCTGTGGACCGCTTCTGGGAGGGTGGGGGTGGAGCCTGCGATGGCATCCAAGACAATCGTGTGGATAGTCCACATGGCGATTGCAACCACCAGAGCACGGAGGGAGGGTGGAAGGGGGAGGCCATTGATGAAGCAAACATATCTCTTGATAGACTGAAGGGATGCGTTTGATCCTGGCCTAGCAGACGTTGAACTTCGCGCCATATCACTTTAGAGGTGGGGCACTTCTCCAGGCGGTGGAACAGCGTTCCATACTGGCCACACACGACATAGGATGAGTGTAAAGCGTTAGAGCGCTCAGCTGTATGATACACCCACCTCAGGCAGCGCCACACATGGGAGTGGACTTGAGGCTGCAACAGAGGATGGTGTGCGTATTTCCAGATAGTTTTTTAGGTCTCAATGGAATAAGGGATGTCCATCATGTCCAGATAGTCCACCCTGGATAGGAAATGGGTCCGTGTGGGGATCACGCCATCTTGGATGGGTAGCCACTGTACCTCTTGTGTGAACTGAGGAGAGGGGCGGCCTCTTTGGGTTGTATGTCTGCTAATACAAATTCTCCACTCAGCGCTCTGCATGGAGAGGAGGATTCGTTTGTAGTGGGTTTTAGTACCGTGAGGACCTGTAGCCAATGGGTGTGACGCCAGGTATTTCATCAGGGAGTGGGGGTTCGATAGATTGTTGAGGCCCAAAGTGCAGGAGAAGTTGGAGTGGGCCGCGCGGGGCCAGCGTTGGGAGGGGAGTGTAGGGGTGGTGATGGCCGCAATCCAGGTGCCCAGGATCTTGGCAGCATGGGCTCTGAAGTCAAGCAGGCCCATGCCACCATGATGATAAGGGCCAAACATGACCTCTAGCCATACTGGTGGAGGGCGGCCTGACCAAAGTCATCCTTGCAGCAAGGCATACAAGGATTTGAAGAAGCTCGGGGAGAAGGGGATGGCGTGGGCTCCAAACCAGACTTTGGATAGGAGCATATAGTTGGCTAAGACAACCCTGCCAGTAAGGGAAGTAGGGTGGGCTCTGAGGGAGGCGATTCACTTTGTCACGTTGTTTAGAATATGACTCTCCATTAATGCTGATGCATATCCACCTGCCTCCACCCACATGACTAGATGTCGGACTGGCCCTATGGTAGGGCGTGGCATGAAGGGGAGCACCAGTGGGGCAGTGTGGGGTGAGCTGGGAGAGCGAGCACGTGTGCGAGCAGATGGGCTGGGCTGGGCACTGGTTGCTGGGGCCCAGCAGTTTTGAGACCAACCAAGGAGGATAATTTCAGTTTTAGAAGCGTTCAGTGCAGCATTACTTACCCGGGAATACTCCTGGATGAAAGCTTCAAGTGCGCGTGCATCTTTATTTATTAGACACCCCAACCACACAGTCATCTGCAAACGCCATCATCTTGACTGGGGCTTGGCCTGGCACATGGACCCCAGTGAGTTGGGCATTCACGTTTTGAAGTAGTGGGTCAAGGCTGAAGTTATATAAGAGTGGGCTAAGGGGGTCCCCTTGTTGCAAGCCTCTTTGAGGGTGGACTACTTCCATTGGGAAGCCAGGGCCATGTACTGCCATTGTTGCAGATTCTGTGAGCAGCATCACCCAGTTGATGAAGCGAGGGGGTAAGCGGAATTGATGGAGGCAGGCCCTGAGGTATTCCCAGTTTACTCTATCATAGGCCTTCTGTTGGTCCAAGAATACAAGTGCCCCAGAGGCTGTGGACTGGCATGGGTTGGCCACAGAGTGCACGTTGTCCCAAATTGACCTTCTGGGTATGAAACTGAATTGTTCTGGGGAGATTATGGCAGATGCTACAGTCCCTAAATGGTTAGCCATGATTTTTGTTAAAATTTTTGTATCCATGTTAGTTAAAGAAATGGGGCGCCATTTGCTAAGTCTAGCTTGTCCCCTTTCTTGAAGAGTGTGACTAGGTTCAACTTAAAACTATCTTATGCGAAAATTGTAAAGTATTTTAAGCTTAAATTTCACCCATTTTATTTAAAAATATATAAGGTCGGCCCACCTCAAATAAAATTAAAATTATTTAAATTATATATAAAAAATGGAGCTGCAGGGCTTCGATCCCCATGCCTCCCGCATGCAAAGCGGGCGCTCTACCAATTGAGCTACAGCCCCATATATAAGCTTATTCTTTAGTAATAAATATCACGTGTCATAAAAATATCTACATGAAAATAAAGCAGGATGATCTTTTTAGACTTTTTAAATCTGTATAAATTGAATTAACTAAAGGCTCTCCTGATTTGTGATGTCTTTGTTAAATATCTGAAACATACATAACTAAAAACTGGACACAGTATTGTAGATACTGTGTTGGTGCCTGAAGCAGTACCTTCCAACAAGATATACATAGGCCTAAACATTTGTAAAGGTAACTTAATAATTTAATATTATTATTTGTTCTTTATTAGCTTTTTGTATAGTAGTGGATGATATAGTAATGCTTAATTAAGTCATATTATAACTAAAATATGAAATATAACTCCAGCACTAAATCTTCAAATAACATTTAATGACTAGAGGTGTTTTCTCTTGTAACAATCACTTTAGTTACTACAATACGATTTGAACAGCAAACTTGGATGATCACACACAGGAGAGATGGGTGACTTTATCAATAAAAATAATACAACATGGGAGAGCGTTGTGGCAAGCGGTGCACTTAACGGTGCAACTAAGGGCAAGAAACGCCCGGAGGGGGACCAGGAACCCAATCCGCAAAGAAATTGCAAACTCAGACACCATCTGGGTTTATGGTATTCACTGTAAAGCACGCGCAATATATGTACATTCAGTTCAACCAACCCTTGTCAAAGGTGGAGCATGAGATTAGACTCTTCCTTGGGGATGAGTCACTGACCCTATGGGAGAAGACATGTGAGGCACAGCCCTCACTTTTCCCTCACGCGGTGTATGTAGCCACCAACAACATGGGCTGCAGCTGGATCAATATTGTTTTTGAAACATATGATGAAGCCAATGCTGCAGAAAAAGTCTGTGTGGAAATTGCCTCCCCGAGGGCAAAAAATTGTGCACACAGCATGCACCAGATGGAACAAAGCAAAAACTTTGTTCATCTCATTTGACTCGCTCCTCACCAACCTTCCTCATAAGGTAATCGAGGAAGAGCTCTGCAAGGGTCTTATGGCCTATGGAGAAATTCAGCAACTTAAATTACAGTGATTTCACCTGATGCCCAACCTGTGCATGAGCAAAGCTATCACTATAATCAACCCCTTCCCAGAAGTGGAAGATGACTTATCAAGAATTCCACGCACAGCAGAATTTCACTTCACAGATGGGGGCCAGTCAGCCACATTCCGAGTTACACTGGAATGCGCACCACCCATTTGCAACCACTGTTGCTCACTGGGCCATAAGGAACACGGATGCCCTGTGAAAGAGGGCTTAATGGAAAATGATTATTGTGAGGAAGCAATGGATGAAGATAACGAAAACTTTGCCAAAATAACTTACAGTCACCACCCATTCCACTGGGGAGAAGATGGACTATACTCCATCGTGGACCCAGCTACACGCAAAGAATGTAAAGTGGCACAAAAAGCCCGCAAGCGAGCAGTGGCTGAAGCGGTGGCACATGTGGAGTCCGCCATTAACCCCAAACAAATTTGGGAGGATATTTCAGATATTCACCAAGCCAACCAATCAGAACAATATGCCCAGGTCAAAAATTTTCACAGTAACCTGACCAAGTTACAAAGCGACATCAGTCATGCACATACTGAGGAGCAATGCAACCGCAATTTGGGCGAAAATGCAGTGCACAATTCACTAAAGTTGAACCTCAAAAATATAGAAACCAATCAACAATCCGCATCAAATCAGCATGAGACCTGTGCAGAAAAGGTTATTGAAAATGCAAAAAACTGCAATTCCCATGAATCATTGGGTCAGATCAAGGGAACCAACAATGGCAGTGAAAGAGTTGGAGTACAGACGCAGAGCATGGCCAGAATGAGCTGCGGTGGGATAGGGCCAGAGGGCCCTCCCAACCGCCCCTGAGGCGTCATGGGCACCTCAGTGTCAATAGGGATGCTAAACATTGTGGGAGCCAGGGCTCATATGTCCCAAGTTAAAAAGCTGGAATTCCTGCGAAAACCTCTTGTAGACATCTTAGACATCCAAGAAACCCACTGTCTACAAGGGGAAGAAGGATCCTGTTCAACCAGAGTCGCACCATCACAATCAGTATGGATGCCTCACTGTGGGGTGATCATCTGAAACAACAAAAAATTTAAAATTACAAATTTGTCATCACACTTACATGGTTGAGTCCTGGTAGCAACAATCACATACCAAGAGGAAATAATTTTGATAGCATGTGTCTATGCACCGTGCACTGCAACCAAGAGAAAACAATTTTTTGAAAACATTCCTACTATCACTCTCCCATCAGATATCATTTTGTTAGGCAATTTCAACTGCTGGGATAACCCCAATACATATAAATGGCCTAATCTCAGGGGAAACCCACCTGGACACATTGAATTCCGCACAATGAAGGCATCTCTTGGCCACATCGATGAATCCCCCCCTTGGGTTGGGACCATTTAGTACTAAAAAAAAGGCATCTCTTGGCCTACAAGATGCTCTCCCCCCAGTTCACCACTCCTTCCCCACTTGACGTAGCCCAACATATGTGAGGGAGCACTCATATTGATGAGTCGCATTGACCACATCCTCATCCCGCAATCCCACCGCTCAAGAATCTCCAAGTTTACAACAAAAAAGATCAATTTTTCTGACCACTGATTGGTTACAGTGCAGTTAGCACCAACCCAATCCCACACACAGGTGTCACCTTGGAGAAAGCTTCACCCAGAAAATATAAAATTGCCTGAGATATCTGACTGGGTCAAAAATGAGGCTATGAACCCAGAATTCACAGCCCCATTCACTTCAGATCCCATTGGAACATGGGAAAATTTCAAAAAGGATCTAATCAACAAAACCTGACATATTGCATCACATAGGTACACCGCGGACACGGCCACAATCAAGCATACCTTGGTGGAACTAGACCACCTGGAGATAAATACTCTGAGATTTGGCTATAGCCCCAACTGGGGATGCAAATGGGCAGAAATATCTGCCCAAATTAACAATCTCATCTTTGAACACCAACACAGAATCAAAGTATCAAACAAAGGTAGGTTCATAAAGGAAGGCAAAACCTGTTTGACATACTTTTTCTGCCAATTCCACTCCTGCAGAAACCAGCCCACATGCACACAGGTCCACAAGACCAACGGCACCATGGCAACCGACCCTGAGGAGGTCAAGGCAGAAGTACACCATTATTACACCAATCATATCGCGAAACGCCAACAGATTCACAAAAAATTAAAGAATTTATACAAACTGCCAAGATACAAAGTACACCACCAAATAACAACATACTATCTTTAATTACATGAGAGGAGCTTTGGGAGACAATTCTCAGTGCACCACGTAGGAAATGCCCAGGGCCTGATGGGATACCCTACAAATTTTACAAAAATTATTTTCAACAAATCGCCCCCTCCTATTGGCGTCTATGAACCAGTGCTTGTTGGAAACACGCCTACTACCAGGAGGCCATGAATCCTACGTTATAACCTTGTATAAAAAGGGTGAAAAGTTGGACCTGGCCAACTGGCGCCCAATTGCACTCTCCAACACTGACACAAAAATTCTAACAAAAATTTTAGCAGCCAGATTAGGCACAATTGCCTCTGACGTCCTATCACCCAATTTAGTTTGGGTTTATACCAGGGCGTTCAATCTGGAACAACATTCACCCTGTTGCAAACATTTGCTAATCCAAAGCAACTGGTGCCCTAGTCTTCTTGGATCAGGAAAAGGCGTACAACCTGAGTTAGCTGGCCATACCTAAAAGGATGTCTACATGCCTTCAAACTCCCACCAAGGTTCATAAAATGGCGATGCTCCTAACAGAATCTGCAACCATGGCTGTATGCAGCCCTGGATTCCTAACAAACAAGATTAAACCACACAGAGGGCTCAAACAAGGGGATCCCCTCAGCCCACTGCTATAAAATTTCAGCTTTGACCCACTCCCCCAAGTAACTGACTCACGTCTCATGAGGATATTCGCACAAGGACAACCAACAGTCAAGATACTGACCTTTGTGGATGACTGCGTAGCAGTATAGCAAACAATGAAGATGCCCGACAGCTGGAACGCACTCTAGAGGAATACTCCAAGGTGAGCAATGAATCGCCTAACAAAAGAAAGACAGAAATCATTTTCTTAGGCAAATACACAAACAACTAGGTCACAACATCAGAACCTCATACCAACACATGAAGAAAAAACCCAATCATTTTACCCTTTGCAACACCTCCCACCACCACTCTTGTCTGACACCTTGAAATTTGGCTAGAATCAGGGGGATATGCTAATGAGACAATGGAAAGTAACCTGTTACAACGGGTATCCAAACGCGTCGCCTCCCTCAAGGGAAGAACCCCAGGATTAACAGGGCGAGTTATAGTTGCTAACTTGCTCATCACCCCAATACTATGATACCCAGCCCACGCGATCGCCTTCTCACCTACCTTTATAACTTCAATCTGCGCGCTTATCCAGGGCTGGCTGTGGCCCAGCTCTCACCCTCCTATATGGATGGAAACACTATTTGGCCCACGCTCAAGCGGAGTCATGGGACTAATATATTTCAAGAGCCACGCCAATCACATCCTAGGTACCTGGATAAAGGAAGTCCTTGCTCCAGACCTCCCGCAACAACATTGGTCCAGAGAAGCAAGGACTAACTTCGCACAGGCACTCAAATTAACCAACCTACGTAGCCCACCCAGACTACTTACATACCTTGCCAAACACCCTAATGCAACAGGTCCGCATGGAACCTTTCCTCATTTCAAACATATCCTCCAAACTATCCGCCATATGGGATGGACCATAGAGAACATGGGTACTATACAAGGAAGGGGACGACCCAGCCCCAATTCAAATTAAGAAACCCAGAAAACCACCCCCAGAGAGATATACTTGCAACAACCCCAAACATAGCTAGGATAGAATACCTAGATATGTTGGACATTCCCTATGATTTGACCACACAGAAGGC